TGTAAAGTCAACGCGGGGTTTTTAAATTGCCTTCAATTCTCTCCCCTCTCTATACTATTTTACGCATTCTACAGCATTTTAGATTTTCAGGTGCTGAAAATATTTATGTCGACTCTTTAAAATTATCTTAATATATCTTCATTAATATCACCTTTATAAATTTATTTAAGACTATTTCCATGAGCCTTCTGTACATCACATGATTGTATTAGTATAGCATGGAAACTGTGATAGCCCGCCATACCTCGACTACCTCTCTTTTGTCCCAGTCTTCCCTTCAATTTGAGACTAACTTACTTGTGCAGTGTTTGTCAAGGCACAAAGATTTGCTGGAGACAGGATGCGAAAAAGTTTTGGAGGCGAGATGCCTTAAAGAGCTTTCTTCTGGTAAAGCATTCATTCATCTTTTTAAAGGATTTTAATAATATGCCTTATGTATGTCTCATTTTAATGGCTTCATCCTAACTTTATGTCGCTTTATCATACTCTCAGCAAACCTAACAACTTTTTTGATGAATCACCTAGGAGGTAACTCCAATTCCACGTTCAGCTCCAAAAGTCACAATCCCAATTGTGCAACTAGAAGACTCGATATTGGGGCTAAGGGAAACTTGGCGCGTCACCTTATTGAATTGCTAGCGGTGATAGTGCTCCCTGATGCACCTCAATCACTCGCAGAAGTTGATGCGCGGCTCGCAGATGGCCTTCCTTGTATTCCCGAAAAGTTGATGCCAACAGATGCTGATTTTGATGCATACCGTACTATTGCTGAAAAGGGTCGAAAAAAAGCTCTTTTACTCCCGGTAGAAAAGATTCATTCAGCTTTCAAGGTGATTATTTAATTACACTTATTTGGGTAGGATATTAATTTACCAGTTTATATTTTATTTTTAAAGCAGAGTATTGTCTTCGGGTTTTTTTAGGATGCACGATAGGTATTCATTTGATGTAATAATATTCAGTTCCATTTACTTTGCCTATAATGTGCTCTATTTAAACTAAATTGACTATTCTACTATATTACTATCACTATACTATTTACGTTTTTATAATCGGTATTCTATTATTTTATTTATGCTGTACTTTGCATTATTCGCACATTTTCTGGAACATCTAATTTAGTTAAATGTTACCGTAATGCCTTATGGTATTATAATCTTGATTCGCTATCATTCCTTTAACATTTCATTTTGTGACAGAAACACCATTGCTAGAGGGAAACGTTCGTCTGGTGTAGTAGACGAATATATCTACGTTTAGTAAAAAAATTATTCTTGTTGGCTTTCCGTCATGTTTACTTTTGACCTCGCAAATACAGATGTATTATTTTGATCGAAAATGTTTCCTTTAGTATGCTCGTGACCGCCTTTCGTGATGTACAAGTTGTTTGACCTTCAGAAAGTGGGTGAAAAGGATTCGTAAATTGGCCCCTACTCCCACCGAAGAATATGATATAGCAGAGGCCTGACCTTCCTTGAAACTCACTTATGCCCTGTGACTCGGGTACTCGTGGCAGTGTAGTCGAGTGGTTAGT